ACAAATTCACTCCGTGTCATTGTGGTTGAATTTCCAAAATAATCGCGATCTTGAGCAAATAACCCCCAAGGGTCAAGTCCAACTTTGTATTAAAGGGATCGAGGTTTTCATATCACATCATTTTTACTAAAGGGCAAATACGGTGTTGTTAAGCGACTAAGAAACTTTTAACTAAACCAAGAGGTAGGTAATTAAATTTGTTTCCAAACTTGCCCCTGGCAAAGTGTTTGCATCATTAAACTATAGTAGCTTATAATAGACTCAAGACTTCATCTTTACTGTATGGGCATTCTTGGATACTGTCCTGTGCTACTATTGTCCTTCATTTTTCCCCATCCTGCAGCATCACCACCCAGGGGCGGCGTATTGAGGTGCAGTGCAGTGGAGAGACTGCCCCTTCCCCACCAGGCACCACGGCGTACTTCAACCCCGACACATCGGCAGGGCGGACTGGGTAATTGTAGCCTATCATTTAACTGTTTCTGGACTCGCTTATGACTTCAGACATTACACCCTGGACATCCGGGGTTGTGTCACACACCTTTAGATCTTGTCTGTTTCACAATCCTAGTTTCATTAGTTTCTGTTTGTTTATACAATGCCCATGTTTTTTTTTTCAGGTTTGTGACAATTAAGAAGGACCCTGTAGCAAGCCTGTGTAGCGATAGAATCCTGGTACCCAACGCTGATGGAATAACTACAGGACAAGTCACCCTGCATCTCAGGTAGGACCGGTTGATGGGAGCTTTGGTGCAAGACCTCTCAGTTAGAAATTCTTGTCTCACCACTTTGGTTGGTCATTGTTACCAACCATCACACCACTCCTTCAAGTTTTATTTCTTTCGCAGTTGATCATTTATTGTGAAAATGAAATGGTCTGACATTGTTTTACGATTTATGCTTTTCCTCAGCGAACCTGTGGAATCGTCTAATGTCACAGGAAAATGCGAGGTTACCGGTGTCCCACCAGGTAATCGTTTGTCATATGTTCAAAATATGACATTTGTCCTTTTTTTTTCTTCAATTTTTCCCACAGTGCCACACTATTCTCCCCCAGAAGAGAGATTATTCCATTTTGACATCCAGTGTAGCAATTTAAAGAAATTTCCTGCAAAACCCTACATATCGTTTGCTCATCACAAGTTGTATTTCTGTCTTTCCCACGGCTCTGCCTGTTGGGTGCTATTGGTCAATCAGCCGGATCACATTGCAATTTTAGTCAGTACTCTATGAAATCTCTCGGACTTCCCTTAACTGAAACAATCTTTCAGAACCATAAATGAGAATGAAGGTTTGATTGACTGATGACAGAATCATCAGCACGTTGTGCAGTAAGATCGACTGATTGCGCAGAAATCAAGGGATTACGCAGATTGACCGATAATGCCCAGTCCTCGCCATTGTCTGTTTTGATGAAAAAGAACGTATCCTAGCACCAAACAGAAATGCCAGGGTGTTGCAGTACTCCATAGTCTAGTTATTGTTCTGTATCCTTTATTACTGAGCCGTGTAACATGTTTCTTTTCAATTCTGTTTAGATAATCCCACCAACTGGTTAGCATTTGAGAATGTTCGGATTTTTATCGGTGAAGACAGTGCAGTGGTGAGTCACCTGTTAGGCCCTCCTAAACACGGTCAGTTCCGGATGGAGATCGTTCAGACCTGGTGGATTGTTTACTGTGGGAGCCTTGGACAAAATGAAGTGTGCCAAGTTTTCTCTGAGTGTGGGAGAGTTAAAAATCGGTTCCAACATGCATTATGTTATATCTGGCATTCCCACTACGATAAATATAAAACTCACTGTCTTGACTTCTTCATTTCCCAAAGTGTTGAGCTATTTCAACTGCTTCGTTTGACATCGGAGGCCATTTTGGATATAAAGACACAAGACACATACTTTCATGACGTGACTGATGCACGAGAATTTTCTTCATTTTTGAAATGCAGGTGCGATATCGTATCACGGGGCGCGGTGGTATATTACGGGTGCAGTGTTCTGCAGAATCTGATGACGGAGTCCAGTATCAGACAGATTTATCTAAAAGTAAGATACGCAGTCTCAAGTGAGTCCCTTAGACAGCATTTGTAGACAGTGGAATCCACACAGAAATGAAATTGCTTCGTTCTGTGCGATGGACATTTTGGCCTTGTGATTTAAGCTCAGAAGTTTGGCCTCTTGCAGATGTTTAAACCGTGAGGGCATGCTTTAAAAAGATATTCTGTTGGCCTTACAGTGTTCGCAATAGAGTAACAGCTTGTTTTATTTTCTAAGCTGAACCACCCAGGCGCTTGGAGTAGGGTTCCCCTGAGGTACTATGTGTAAAGTAATCAAACAAATTTTGCCACACTTTGAGTGCCTAAAACAAGCGAGTTTTTTAAGAAAGGCCTCAAGTAAATTCTATCTAGGCTATCAGTACATTTACTCCAAATTTCCCCTCGAAAATAAATCGATCTTGTTCGTGCCACTCTTTTTCATTCTGATTGATTTAAAACTGATCTTTTTCAATATATCTAAGTTGTTTTGCTTTTTCCTTTCATTTTTGTCTATTTTAAGTGTGAGGTGGTCACTAAAATCAGTGGGGTTGGCCACCTCCAGCTGAATGGGCTGGGGAAACCATGTTAGGAATTGATGCTAACATTGTTCATGAGAATCTGAGTTTTCAGATGAAAACTTGTGAAGTTGCTTGTGTCTTGTTTATGGATCTGGTTCAATTTCTGATATGCTGCTTTCTAGCTGAGGAGGCCCTCTTTGACTTTGAGTCGGGCTCCGTCCAGATTCTACCGGCCACATCCAAGGTGACGGGGGACATGTTTGCACCCGTTCTGGCCCTCTCCGAGCCCCTGCGAACCGGCGAAGCAGACGTCACCTTCTTCTGCAGACTGACGCCTCTCAACACGACCGACGAAGCGCAGGATATCATTGACGGGGAGCCGTGCGTGGCACCGGTGGACACAGTACCAGGGACCACCGGTAATGTGTTTGTACAAGAAGTGCTGGGAGGTGTTCTTGTCATTTCTAACAGCCAGTGAATAATGTGCTCTGTGTTCAAAGTAAACCTTACATGCAATGAATGCTAAAGGATCCGTGTGATGAACTTTTCTCAGAGACGTTTTTTTTTTGGCGTTACTTAAAAACGGTTTGACGTCCCGTTTGGGTTAGTGCTTACCTTTGTGTCTTAATTTGTATTATTTTCAATTTTTATTTCGCTATTGCAAAGATTGTTTTGGTGCCTCTCTGGGTTTTATGCTAAACGAAATTTCCATATTCATGAGCAAAACCATGATGTCGTTCCAGACAAAGGCTCTAAATGTTACATTTATTTGGGCATGAAAAATATTTTGCGGTCCTATATTTCTCCTTTGGTAATTTATTGTAATGGCAATAATCCAGTGAGCAACCCTTGCTGAGAATAGCATTTTGGGTTCACAATTTGAACAGAAAACTTACTGACTAAATGGCGTGCCCCTGAATGTTGTGGTATTTACAGTAACACCATCCTCAGTCCATCTGACTGGCACGGGCAGTGTTTGAACAAGTGCACTTTTTAAGGGTTGTATTAAAAATTACATTGTGTGTGGGTCTGTTTGTTTCACTTAGATCTGAATCATGATCAGTGTTCCAATGTTGGTTCGCGGACACCAGAATCTATCTAATGGATGGAGCGAACCAGCTTTGGAATCACTGATTGCGATCCAGATCCTGCAAAACGAACAGGCCCATGGACCTTTTAGCTTAAAGAATGGTTGGATATTCAACATAAAAAAAATTCTTTTCTGCAGAAATTCGTAGACTTTTCTACCAGGCAACAAGGTTTTTTTTTTAACCCCTTCGCGCCAGGACACGGCGAGACCCGCCGTAAAAATTGAAATCTTCAGCCCGCTTTTCCGATATTATTCTTGGCCCACGCTCGAGCGAACACGGTGAAAGAAGGCATACCCTGGCTCTTGTATATATGGTAATTGGCCATTGTGCGTAGCGCAGAAATGAAAAGACCGATTTTGCATCATAATCACCAGCTTCACAATAGTCCCCACTTTGAAAAGAGGCAACGGGAATGTGGAAGCGTGAGTAGAGCCACATGCCACCGAAAAATCAGCCTTTTCAAAGCGTGCAGAGCACGCAGGGCCACCAACTGAGAATTTGCGGTTTGGCAGGTGGCCTTCGTGGCCAAGCGAGGCTGGAATTCTTGGAGTTGGCTTTCGGAAAGAAATTCCCGTCGTCAAGGGGTTAACAACACAAAAAGATTGCACTGTTGTTATTTGTAGAACACAAGTTTAAACCCACCCTGTGTGTTACCAGTTTTCACTCCCAAATTACTAACAAACCACACATTTGTTTCTGTTCTGCATGTATTCCTTCCCCTTTAATGTGGTAAGTACAGGTGTATGTCAGTCTTTGGCATGTCTTTTTTGTTTTGTGGCTAATCGCTTCTTAGTTTTGACAGAAATGTGCCAGTCTGATTTCTTTGTAAAAAAGGCAAAGGCTGTGCTCTATTTTGTTTTTGACTATTGTTTCCAGCTTTTAGAGCGGTAAATTGGTTACAATTGTCGCCTTTCCATAGCAAGCTCAAAGCCCTCTTCCTTTCGCTTGCCACATCAGGTGCATGCATTTTTATGTGCTACTAGATTTGATTGGATGCTCTCATCAGCGGTTGGCAAAAGCACCCAATCAAATGGCTGCTTTCAAAACATTTCTTGCAGTGATAGAACATTAAATTCTTGTCACATTAGGGCCGGCGACCATTTAGACCCGGTTTGAAAAGGGCCCCCCCCCCCGTAAGCTCGCCCTGTTGCAAAAACCCCTTTCATACCGGCCTGGGATGCTGGACTGGTTGTTGATCTCGAACTTCTCCATCCTGGGGTCTATTGTTTGCAAGTACTGGTACATGTAATCTATCCCAGAAGGAACCAGCTTGTAATTTTTAATCCTTCAGCTCTATACAATGTTTACACTAATCCGCTTAAACCCCTATTCATCTGTGGAAGCATGGTGGGGGAAGCCTTTCATCAGGGACTTTGAAATGCCGACATGCAGACAGGCCTGATACCGGCCTGGAGCAGCCTGAATACCGGGCAGGCATTATACAGGGCGGGCTATGGGGGGGCCCTTTTCAAACTGGGTCTAAATGGTTGGCGGCCCTTACCATCAGCATGGAATCAGCGGGACATTTGCATAACAAAAGCCGAATGTAGTGTTGTTTAGCATATGGCCTCGTTACAACATCATAATCAAATCTGTTTTTTTTGCCTTTCTACATCCAAGCTCCTTTTTCAACTATTGAGTACAATCTGTGCATTAACAAGTGATTTCTGTGCTTGTATTTATAGTCTCTTCTCCATCCGTTAATGTCTCTGCTTTTCACGCAGCATAAAGTTGACCATGGGAAAATTACTGCATCTATTAGAAATCACCCTTAATGAGATTTCATGACTCTATTGCGTAAAGTGGGTTCAGGATGCTAATGGAATACAATTATCCGTGCCGTGAAACTTTATCTCTGCTTTTTCACAATGACCGCTTGCTAATTTGAAATATCTCTGCCTTGCATAAACATGAAGTTGTGCTGCTGAATGTGAAGAAAAATCATGGAATCTGATTATAATAGCTGTTTATCCAGATCTACTCTACTCTTCCTTTGCTGTCTGGATCTTGAGTACTGTTTTCCGTCAGATATAAAAGCCTTTAATGATAATGGATGGAAGAATTCACAGATTAACAAATCTTGTTAATTTTTATTCTTGTCTTTGAGTTGAAGTTTTTTGGGGTCTGGAGCACTGAGTATTTAACAGTAAATAATGATTGAATGCTGGCTGTCCACTCATGTTTTTGCTTCCAGTGGAGATTCTGTTTCAACAACCATTTTCCTGTACTCTTTGGCAGATTCTCCGATCGTAATCACCGACCAAATTGATGTTGTAACAAAAACGCCCAACACCGCATCTGTTGGAACGGCCACACCCATTCCCACCACGCCGGCAATCACCACTCAATTGCCCTCCACTTTCTTACCCACCAATGAACCAACGCCAGTCAACGACACTGCCACGTGGGATCTGGCCCGATCACAGATTGTCTTCCAAGAGGGGGACGTGGCCCAAAGCTTGGAAATCCGCCTGCGCAATGCCAGGTTCGGATTCAGGGGTGGCTTGTTAGTTAGATGTTGTGCCACAGCCGAGTTAAACACAAGCCCCAAATACACCGGCTTGTCCAGCTCAGCCATAGCCACAGTTGAAGTAGCTGCGGCTAGGTCTATCAACTGGACTAGTGCCACAGGTAAGTAGCTCATGCACTAGTTTGGGTCCAAACACAAGTATTTGTCCAGAAAAAAAAATAGGAAATGTTACTTCCACCGTCCTCAGCAGAGAGTGATTCAGAGATGTTAACTGGAAATGAAAGCACTTCTGGACCTGTTCCAACTTCTGCTTTTTGAAGTCGAAGTTTTCCCTGGTAGCATTCCCGGGATATAACTACATGTAGATGAATACATCAGTGTTGGGAACCAGTTGAATGTGAAGTGTGTCCAAATTACCAGTCTGTGGCTTGGAGTAGAACACATCTATGGAAACTTGCAGCAGCCACGAGGTAATGGCTTTCATAGGCGCATGTGTTATTTCTAGCCACAGCTATGACTTTAACCCCTTAGCGCCGGTAATTCTTTTGACCGTGACTGCTGGGCTGTGGTATGCCCTGAATGGAGGGCTTTGTCCAGCAGCAGGCCCCATTGAACCAGCAGCTGCATGGTGAATAGACTGTATGTGTGGTCTGCACTAATCGCCACACAAAGCCGCGGCTGTCAATAGTTCCCGGTGCGAAGGGGTTAAGACACATCCTCAAGTTCTGGCGGTACATGTGGTACATTGTGGTTCAACGCAGCAGTTTGATATCATATCTTAGAATGAAAGGGTTCCTTTTCTTTTGGACTCATTATCTTTCGCAGATTCGCAGAAAGAGACGACTTTCACCAATCCAGCCTATACCGAGGTGGCGCCCTGCCCATGTGACCTCACTGCCAATAGCTGCGACGTCAACTGTTGCTGTGATCAGGTGAGCTGAAAACAGTCAACATTTCCAGTCAATAATAGGAACCTGCTACCTCCCAAAGCAACTTAAAATTGGACATTTTAGACTTTTTCACTGACAACCTGTTCCAGTATTTTACAACTCGTCTTTATGGGGAACGCTTTTGGAAGTTATTAACCTCCAGTTCCTTGAACTTATGTTATTTACTTTTCGATTTTGAAGAGGTGGTGTAATTTTTATTTGCAATTTCACTTTTGCAGGCCGTCTTTTGGTTGTGATTGGGATTGTTATTGAAACAATTTGGCATTTGTGAGTTAAAATGTTGCATTTACCCACTTTAATGGTTTTATACTTTTCTCTCACAACTTTTAATTATGCAGGACTAAGACATTATTTTTGTGTGGCGCAATTCATAATGAAACGTTTCTTTGTTTATTATCATTAGCTGTGTACAGAGGATGATCTGACTGCTTTTACTTGCATAACTGGAATACCTGGTGGTAATTTCACCAAGCAGTATGCTTACAACTGCTCCAACCGGGATATCTATCGGCCAGACTGGTTCCCTTTCCTCTGCGTGGAGACAGACAACAGCCCTCACCTGGGCCTGTACTTCACGGCGAGGTCAGGGGTGCGAAATGCAGCGGCCTATAACAACCTGAAGGCCACCATCTTGGCTGGCCAGACCCCCACCAGCTTTGAGGACGAAGGCCAGCGCTCGTTGGACTTCACGCGCTCCGATGCTGGCGGGGGCGGGTACAAGTTTGGCTTCCCTGTGGAGACGCTGTTTAACAACAACGCCCGGGGTTTCCTGGCTGTGCCGGAGGTGGACCCAAATGGGGGCTGCTCCTGGTTGTCTCCAATCCAATTCCAGGTGGACACCTCATCCAGGTGTGACGTGGACCCTCAGCAGAGCCTCTGTGTTGAATCCTCTGTGCTGAACCCACGCGCTTTCATCCTGTCAACCAACACCGGCTATCCACCATGCCGGGAAGCCCCGGGCATTCTTACCACTTATGGAGGCAACAAGCTGACTCCAATAACAGTGCGGTATCACTGCACCGAAGACATCACCCCATACCTTGTACCCAGCACTGAGCTCGACCAGTTGTTCAGTCCAACCGGGGAGTCTTTCTTCCCCAGCTCTGATGACAGTGGGGATGGGAGCCTCCCACTGCCCAACCGATGTCCCTGGGATGATGGTTACACCCTCCCACCGATCCCTGAATACGATCCTGCAACCTATCTCTGCACCAGTGCGGTCCTGGACGTCCGCTATGAACTTTTCTGGCGCAGCAACCAGATCGTCCAGCTGGACGCAGTTGTAATCTTGGGCAGTGTTCCCTTATCACCGCAGAATTCCATGACATCTGGTGAGAAAGAGGTGCCAGCTTTTGTAAGCCCACCCCCAACTGAACCCCCCACTGAGCCCCCAACTGAACCCCCCACTGAGCCCCCTACCGAGCCCCTCACCACCTCAGTGGAAATGGTAGTTACAGTGAATGTGACAGACGAGCTGATCACTCCATATGCAAACTTAACTGATTTGACGAGTGTCAATGCATCACATACTTTAGCGTCGACGCTGCAACCGGCAACTTTGTCGGAGATGACTGCAGGCCAGACAACAGAGGTCGCAACCACCCAAGGGCAGACAACTGCAGCAGTGACCACCGACGGCCCAACGACTGCAGACAGCCAAATGACCACTGGTGGCCAAACAACCACCCCTGCCCCAACCACCCAATCAGTTGCAACAACAGACTCGGGTGTGGTGGGAACTCTACCCATGGTAACCACGGATTCTCCGGGCGGTAGCATCAGTCAGGAGCCTAACACACCCCTGCCATTCACCCAGCGCTTTACCGTCAAGTTCACCCACCTCCCAACAATACTCACGGACCCCGCCCCTGTTGATCCACCAACTGTCCCCGCTCAAGACACCCGATCCGGGAATCCTGGTTACATCACTGGCAAAACGGTCTTGTCAGGACTTGCCATCGTTGATCCCCTTCTAGAATGCAATGCCACGGGAGAGTGTGCACCAGTCGAGCCTGCCCAACCTGGGGAATTCGTCCAAATCAATGATACAGATGCCAATAGACTAAGAGTCTGGGTACCAGGTATTCATATTTTAACTATTTCTTATTTCACCACGTATTTAGTGCAAGTTGTAAAAAATAATTCTCGCATGATTTACTTGATTTCAATTTCAGTTATTAAGTAATGAACCAGTTTCCCAACTACCAGGATTTTGTTTCATATATAGCTGCTAAGACAAAGAATACTGCTTATAAATTCATGTACTCCGCAAAAACAAGCTTCAAATTGCAGATCTACTTGATTAGAAGTTCTTTGAAATTGGCCCAGTGTTTCATAAAGCCACTGAGTAGAAGATATTGCTTAGCAACTTTGCTTGCTTAGTAAAACTGCAGGAAACCAGCCACTGATAAACAGTAGTTTGGCCGGTAACCTCTCCCTCTTAAGCAGATATTTGATGTGCTTGGCAGCTTTCAAAATTTGGACCCCTTCTTAACCGGTTGATCAAACTACTCTGGCACCTCCTTTGCTTTTCCTTCTCAAAGGCCCAGGGAGTCTTTGCTCCCAGTCCAGCTTGGCTGATGTCACCTTTGGCGAGGATCACTTCTCTGGCTGCATTCTCCGGCTAGGCTGGAGCCGGTTTAGTAACTGCAGCACTCTGCGGGAGGTCATGCTGTCTGAGTTCATGTCCATGGTGGCAGCAGACAGGATCGGCAGGGTTGGCGATGCTGACATCAGGAACGAAGAAAACTGGGCCCAGGTTTTCAAGTGAGTCCTTCTGGGTTGACTGCCTTCCACCGTAGAGGTGTCCAGGGCTGGCGAAGTTGACATAAACCTCTTCCTTGATTATCTAAAATGTCCTCTTTTGACAAAGATTTCTCTCTGGTGACTTACCAAATAATGAAATCATGCCAGTCCTGCCTCCTGACCTGTAAACCTCGTGACATCTCTTAATGGAATGTACATCAGGAAGCCCCATCGCTTAAAGCAGAGCATCAGTTAAAGCCAACCTTCATCCAAGGGCAATTAGAATGCTTGCATGGTGTTCGGTAGTGTGCCATAAACTAAAATTTTGCCTGTGCAAACTTCAGTTTAGTTAAATTAGAAAATTTTCAAATTAACTGTGTCTTGGGTGTTTTTTTTTTATGAACACATGAATTTTACATCCACAGATACCTGAGCACCGACAGTGACTTCAGAATGCTATTAAGAATATGGTTGAAAAAGTACGGACCATTCCTCTTTAATGGGTCATGTACTTTTGCCTGTTGCCCACGGGTAGAGTTTGTGTCTCTCTTTTAAATTTTTGTCAATTTTGATACTACAATTTCTCCTCAGGGCTGGTGAGTTTGCCATCCCAACCGAGCTCCCCCCGACAACGGAAGCCATGACAACAGGCGAGATGACAACAGCTGAGCCCACCAATGAGACCATGTCAAGTCCCCTTGAACTTCTGCAGGGATTGTGCTATGACGTACCAACTGGAGTCAACATTGAGATTTTGTACGCAAATGCTGGAGAATACGGTTCCGTCATCCAACACGAGATATTAGCAGCATACGTAACGTATGAATTACCCTTCTTTGTCGGTCGTAATATTTTCATTTTTCTTTTTATTAGGCTGTTCCAAGTACTTTGAGAATCAGTTGGAGACTTATTCTCTTTTAGGATGGCACCATTAAATTTACTTGGCTGGCCCTTGTGAAGCTTTTTAACCATAAAAAACTTGGGGGATGCAGAATTTTACCTGCCTCGACATTTTCTGGAATTTGGCATTGTTGTCTTCTTGTTTTTTAACAAGGGGTTTCCGGGGCTCCGGAACCAGACTCCTTGGGTTTATACACATAGCCGGGCTGCCTGATACCGTACTCGGAACAAAAGACCAAGCTGCTGGGAATTGCCAAAATTTTTTTCAGTTGTCAATAGTGGAGGAAATTTGTCATTGTTTTGAATGATTATACCACTATTTGTGGCATTCAGCACGAGCGGATTACCACTGGGGACAAAAGTGCTCCAGTGATGAGCGATACAATACCGATGCACGCTAATCTGGTCCACATTTGAAAGACATAACTGCCATTCAGCAACGCACTGGGCCAATTTCGGGAACAAAGGACATTACGCAACACCGCACAATCTGGGCTCTCCTTACAAGGCGGCAGGCCTGGCTGAAATACTTGGGCCTCAATAGATGATGTCTGTCAGATTAGAGTAACCACCAGACAGTCCTTCGTGTGGGTGTAAACGTCCAGTAAATGAAGTTATGAATTTTGGAAGAATTTTGAAAAAGGAAAATCTTGAAAATCCCCCGGGTATACTTCATGCAACTTCAAATTAAACCCGGCAGCATATGGTTAACGTCAAACCTTTTTGTAGAATATCTGACAGTCATTTTGGCACTGTGTAATGGGAATACCCTTCTTGAAATCCCATCCCACTGACACATGCTCATCATACTCACGTTGGTGTGCATGAACTGTAAATGGTGAAAACAGCAAACTCTTTAAATTGACACTTCTCAGAAACTCCTGACATTGAAGTCTGATATTTCACAATACCCACAGGTACACCAAATCTACTGTCAAGCTTCAGTGCACTGGTGCCAACGGTTTTGTCTGCAATCTTGAGCAGACTTCCAACGAGACCACAGACTGGGTGCAGTCCTTCCCTGTAACCAGCACTGTCACTTTCACGTAAGTTCCACCCAAACTTGACGCACCTGGTGTTCCAGCATGAAGTTGGGTTTCACCTCTAAGACTGGTCTGCTGGCTGAATGCCAGTCAAAATGGCCAACATGAATTACCCAAAACCAACTCCCAAATGGACAATTCAGAAGTCAACATTTGCCAATGAAACAAATTGAAGTTTGTTTCTAGGGTGTTTTCAGGAAGCAGAATAACTTGGAACCTGAGATACCGTATCACAGAAATTATATTATGAAATTTTCATTTCTTTTTCATAAAAAATTACATCATATTGATCAAAAATTAACTTGAAAAATTAATTTCGTGACTCAAAATTCCCAGTTGCAAATCTGGTAAGAGCTTAACAGACCCCTTTCTGGAAATGAAACAAAAAGAGGCCATGCTTAAAATTCAAGTAGAATCTGCCTAATATATCTTGGTAAATACCTTAGTGATACCCTTGAATTCATGCATGACTTTACTCTAGACTAAATTTGTCAAGATGACCGAACAGTAATTCAATGGATAATTTGGGTCCCTTTTTTGTGTTCATTTAGTCTTACTGAATTTCAGCGCCCCTTACGTTGTGACTACGACCAGTGTGAAGAGGAATTGTTGTTTCCACTCTCGTTGCGTTTCCAAGGTGACTCGAGGACGTACACCGTTGGCGTAGCGGTATTTGTCATCTTTCTTACAATTGTGTATATGGTGGTTACAAAACCTTGGTCATTCATTATCTAACCACATTTGTCAAATTGATTTTTTTTTCAATTTTACACAAAAATTCATAGATATACTTCACATTCTGACCCATTTTCACGTTTCAGGACCAAGATAAAGGGAAATCCTTTTTTTGCATTCATATATTAACTCTTTAAAATTACAATGATAGGAGCACTTCCCTGGTAGCTATTAGATTGCACTCATTCGCCAATGGGAACCAGCTAATTGTGACTATTCAAGGCAGTGTCCAAAGTTGTGGCTGTGGCTTAAACTAAAAAGTGCACCTATGGGAGCCAGTGGTATTCCTTTTCTCTTAGCCGTAGCCAGTTAATTCAGACACGTCCTTAATATTTGTTATGAGAGGTGTATACAGTACCCCCCACTAAGGTGCACAGAAAGGTCAGAATTACTCGGCATTCGTGTTGTAGGAACAACTGATATTGAGAACTGCATATAAGAAATACCCATGGTTATTTGCAAGGCAGAGTTGGCTTCAAACTTTAATTCAAAAGAAATGTCAGAAGCCTGTAAGTCTTTATTCAGCCAACAAATATATTATTTCTAGATTTGATTAGATTTCCAGGAGTTCCTTTGTCAATATGTGCAGTGACGTGAATTTTTGTGTAGCAATTGAAATGATTTCACAAGTAACTCATAAAATTGGACACCAAGGATTTTCTTGCTTGACATGTTTGTGAGATGTGTATGTAGGTGTAGTGAGTTTTTTTTCTCTGATAAGACATATATTTATGAAAACTGTGTCCTTGGGGTTATCCAAAAGCTTGCAAAGAAATTCTCCTGAATATTTAATGCGTATGGCTTTTCTTCACAGGCCTGGGAACAATGTTTTTAAATATATGCCACTAAATGGCAAAGAATTTCTTGTTTTATTCAAGGAAATAATGTCAGCAAACGGAAATATTGTTTTCCAAAATCTTTTGTGGATATTTTTGTAAATATCGAGATTGTTTTCCATTTAGTTTCAAGTGCTGTGAAGAGTTTGCTTTTCTTTTGTGTGTAGAAGAAAACGTTGTAAATATGGTTTTTTAATATTATTTAATATTAAAAAAAAGAAAACCTGTTCAAAATTTGGGCAAATCGAGAGCCATTTTGTGTAGGTAACAGTTGAATTTTTAAACCCTCCGTGTCCATATTTTAATGAGTTTTTCAGGTGCAAAGCTCGTGAAGACTTAATTCCTCAAGACCAATCCATCCGAGTTAATATTTCTCAAGTAATGCACTAAAATTTTGCTTTTGGCCTTTAAATATGATTGCTCAGGTGAGTCCTTTTGACACATGTATACTGAAATAAAATCCCATGAACCAAAAATATCAAAAACAACCAAGTCTTCAATTTTACCTTTGGAGACAAAATGTTTTTGCTAGTCGATAACTGAGACCTCAGTTTCAAAATGAATTCTGTAACAAAGGGATGCAGTGAAACAAGAAAGCGCACCTGCTCTCCATTTCACCAAAGTTTGTGAGTTCTGTTATTTTTCTTCATCCACAAGGTAGTGCAAAATGTTGCCAATATAAATTGTTTACAAGTCCAAAACTGTATTGAAACATCGAGAAGTCAGTGAGGATCAGATTTATTTTCAAAATTCTGTACAAGTTTTTCAACGACTCACTGAATGATATTTAACCACCACACAAAATCGGATTACATTCAACCTTTATACAGCTATTTACCTTTTAGTTCTCAGAAATTTTTTAAATAAGTTGGATTTTAGATCGAAACTTTGGTTCATCTGTGCCGGCCATTTCAAGGCTTGTTTTCCCAGTGAGACCGTGACTTGTCAAGCAGCCGTGACTACGGAGCAAGAATTACCACAAGGGCTTGTTACATCCAACTTAAAGCAGGTCACAGATGAGAGAACAAAATTCTTCTAAGGGGCCGTCCATAAAGTACGTACGTACGCTTCAGAACCCCCTGTACGCATGGCGGACACAGTACCTCCAACCCCTCTCCCACATTCGCATAAGTGTTCCACAATTCTGGTAGACGCTGCCCATCTTTGTCACACGATTAATGTTGGGGTTTACTAATAATGGGCGTTGGGGCAGGAGGATAAATGGTGAGATGGATGGTGGAGAATGCTGTGGTTGGATGTTTTTTTGAAGCACAAAAGCCGAGTCTGGTATTTATCTGTATGAGAAAGTGCATAGAGGGATCCCAATACGACGCTTTTAGCGTCGATCTGCGCACTTCCGCGTTTGAAAACCAGGCTGTATGTGTCAGCTTCAGTTCTTAATACGATCAGACGATTGAAAGGAGTCAAGACACAAAATACATAAATAAATTCAGACTTTTCAGGCTGCAAAATTTTGTGGAAGAGTCTTTCAGGATGACTCGACACGTAAAATCAAAAGAATAAATAACGACAATTGACCGCACACTAACGTACCTGCGATGGTCGTGTACCTTGTGCAGTGGGCGTGGTTTAAACTGAAGTGGGTTTGCGTACGGTACGCACTGCCTTGAATCCCCTACCCCTCTGTATGCATGCTATACACAATGTCACCAACCTCCCCCCCTTTGTGGGTACACTTTATGGACAGCCCCTAATAATCACCTTCCCTCATCCCTGTGTTCTACTCGCGTATCCACTATGCTCTATTTATCTTCCATCATGACACACCCTCCCATCAACGCCTGTGTCTCCGCCCCCAACTGTCCTCCAATCATCTTCCATCATCACATGCCCCTCCCATCAATGCCTGTGTCTCCGCCCCCAACTGTCCTCCAATCATCTTCCATCATCACATGCCCCTCCCATCAATGCCTGTGTCTCCGCCCCCAACCATCCTCTAATCATCTTCCATCATCTATCCCTGTGTTCCTGCTTCACTCTTCCCGTCATCCTCGGGCTGTTTGACCACAGGTGGTTTGGGGATAGAGTCTCTAGCAGTCAGCCAGTGATGAAGCTCAACCTGTCAGAAAGCAAAAAGACGTGGGATCAGTATCACGGAATACAAGTGCTACATTTCACAGGGGAAGAGTCATGCAAGTCTTGCGTGAAGTCATCACAAAATGGAGGGGGTGGAGTTCTACCTTGATGGGGTGGAAACGTCATTGAGTGGAGGGGGTGGAGCCTTATCTAGATGTTTACATTACCTGTAGTGGGTGGAGCACTCAGCTGGATAATTACACCTAGTGAAGGGGCGAAGTACTGACACGGATGTTTAAATTGAGTGGAGGGTGCAAAGTCTTACATGGATATTTGAGTGGGGTGGGGTTCAGACTTACCTGGATGTGTACATTGAGTGGAGGGGGTGGAGCCTTACATGGATATTTGAGTGGGGTGGGGTTCTGACTTACCTGGATGTGTACATTGAGTGGAGGGGGTGGAGCCTGTCTGTCGTCTTCATCACTGAGTTGAGACTCGGGTCGCTTCATCTTGGAGTCCTTCTTATCTGGTTTGCCGGTTTTTTTGCCTGAAAGTCGTCAAATTTGTCGCAACTGTTCAGTTGGACTAGGTAAACATGACCTCTGGAACTCAACTCTCAACTACCCAATATAAAAGTCAAGGGTGCTGTGTTCAACCACTGATCAAAATGGAAAGGGAAGAAAACCAAACATCAACAAACGGGTACCTTTGTCCTTGTCTTTATCCTTACTGTCCTTCCCCTTTTTAGCCTTGGCATTGTCTCCACCTTCCTTTTTCTTCTTCTTGTCCTGCCAAAAGCAAAATGAAATCAGCTTTTGACTTAATAATGTCAACGTTAAACAAAAAATGAGGCACTCAGTGTTGATGAGTTGAAGACAATATAATATTCATATCTGCTAGGAATGTACATCTCAGTTTGGAAAAAGTGGTGTATTTGACAGTGCCCTATGTCTGTGAAAGAAGCGAGCATTGCTCTCTGTCATCCTACCTTCTTGGAATCCAAGCTATCATCTTTCTTGTCTTCTTCCTCCTCCTCCCCGGCATCCAGAGCTCCGCCCTGGCAGGTGCATGTTTCCTCCAGGCTGTAGTCTCCGTCTACGAAGCTCCCGAGGTCCACAGTGTACATGCCCAGCACGGTCACCTCTGGCGGGGAGTGGATCAACTCAATCTCAGGCTCCTTCTTCTTCTTTTTGCCTCCACCTGGTTTCTCCTGAGCAAGTAGGAGGGTCAGAGGGCAAAGTTCAAGGAATGACCCAGTCAGCCAGTGCTTATGTTGCAATGAGCCTTGAGCCAGACTCTGTTCAAGTCCACGCAAACTCTCATCAAGGTGCGGTTGAATCTCACTGCTGCTGTAATCAACTAAGTGAGGTGGAAAACTAAATCTCACATTCCACTGTTTGAGTTAATAGCCAGCCCATAACTTGAGTGTGTCAGCCTATAGTTTCAGCTGGTCAAATAATGGTATATATTTGCCAATTTATGGTTCTGATTTGACAAACTGTGATTTCAAATTAAACAGGAAGTCTGGTTGGCCATTTGGATGGTTACTTTTCACTGAACAATTTGATGAAAACCATGCATATTCTCAAGTTTTAAATTTCTCTGGCCTCCAGTTCTGCTCTGCACCAAAGACACGATTAACCTTTGATCTGCTGCCTTCTCAGTCTCAACATCTTTCTCTGGGCCACCCATCCGTAGCTGTTTACTTCTTGTCTTCTGTCGGCATGACTCACCTTTGGCTTGTCTGCCTTCTCGCTCTTGCTGTCTTTGCCTGTTTTGGCCGATTTCTGACCTCCCGCTTTCTTGCCCGCCTCGCTGGCCTTCTCATCGCCTTCTTCAGCGGGCACTGACAACACCTTCATCAAGCAACCAAGACAAGGTAAAACTGACAAGCATACAATGGGATGTAAACGTTTCTCTTCAAAGCCTCCTCAATACTGCGAAGGTTTTGCAACTCTTTACTGACACATACAAACTTAGAACATACAGTAGTAATAGTGAAGACGATAACATGCAAGAAGTCGTAGGAAATCTCAGTACCATAAGTTATATAAACATTTTCTGACCAGACCTTAGGCCTCATATGCTTGTTTCACAAGCTGCTTTCACATAAGTGCAAAGGGGTCATAGTCTGTCATGGTCTTTAACCACTACCAGCCGGGGTCTCCGAAATCGGAGCCGTAT